AGTTCTTAACCATCGCGCCACTCGGCCGGCCCTAGTTAAGTTTTTGAGGAATAAAAAGTTATATGCAAATTTTTAATTGTAGGGGGACATTGTGGTATCCCTGTAGCCCCGTGTTTTTCAAGGGCCATCTACACACACACACACACACACACACACACACACACACACACACACACCTACACCTATTCTTATATCGGTCTACTTATAAGCATATTAAAAATAATGAGTCCATAATGATACCTCTAATTCAGTCCAGTATCACAGGGTTCATTCTGTTTTTCCTCCTTTCCACATTTGTAATTCCCTTCTGTTATAGTCAGAAACCAGGTTTCCATATGGAAACATTTTGAATCCTTAGATTATAAGCCATTAAAGATCTTAATAGCTAGTTGTGACTGTTAAAATTAACTAAACTGACTTATTTTTAATATTTTCAGGGTCATAATCGTATCATTGCCTACAGTAGACCAGTTTATTTCTGTTTGTGTTGTGGTCTTATTTGGCTCTTGGATTATGGTAGCAGAAACCTTACTACAACCAAGTTCAGATTATATGGAATAACTTTCACCAATCCACTGGTGCTTGTATCAGCCAGGGATTTAGTCATAGGTAAGTCATCTTTAAAGTATCTCAGTTCTTCACATAAATTTACTTGTATACAATCAGTTCACTGATAAGTAGATTATATAGGTTGAAGTAGTTGTTTTTTTTTTACTACAACACGTTTTATTTTGCTGGTTGAAATAGTTTCAGTAGGCTTATTTTGTTGTTTATTGTAACCCTCTCAGTGAGGGACAGAACTGTAGAACTATTATGAATGAAGCTAATGATGAACAAATGTTACAATAATTCTTCTGTTCTTGAAGTAGATGATGGAAGGAGAGTTTCCTTTGAATTCTAGGTTTCAGGTTCCTATTATGTGAAAATAGTTGACATAATTTTAAAAGCTGTTATAGTTGAAATGATTATTTGATACCCAAGCAGTTATATAGAGAGAAATAGTTTAAAATGATATCTTAAAAAAAAAATCACTGAGTAGTGTATGTTAATTTTGGATTTCTTTTTATCTTTTATTTTATGATCTTAAATGAACAAAAGGATGGAGGAGGTGTACTATTTTTAATATGCTTTTCTTTCCTTCTGTAGTGTTTACCCTCTGTTTCCCAATAGTATTTTTCGTTGGCCTTCTGCCTCAGGTGAATACATTTGTAATGTACCTTTGTGAACAATTGGATATTCATATCTTTGGTGGCAATGGTGAGTATTTCCTTATAAAAATTAAAGAAAACAGTATTACTTTTACAGATCATTAAGTAATAAACTGAATGTTAAAATGCTTTTTCAGTTTTCATTTTAGAATTGAAATTAGAAAGAAAAATACACTTATTTAATAATTAAAGACAGAGTTGGAATTAATTTGTAGATAGGAAAAAAGTAAAGTCTGCTACTTTAGTGAAAGAGACAGGAATAATGGAGTTGATTTGTAAGAAGTGATGATACTCTTGTCTAAAACTAAAAGTTACAGTGAGTTTACTTGGAACCTGTATAGACTTATGAAATATTTATAAAACGCCATCTATCCCAAATCAGTTGAGTTCTGATATGTGGCATTATATTGGGATTTTGAACTGGTATATGTTTTTGGAATATCTGTGTATTTAGTTTCAGTGCTTTGTTTTATCTTTAAAATGTGAACACTAAAACCAGAATGCTTTCAGCAAAAGCATTTTACTAAATAAGCTTTTTAGAAGTACCTTGTGGGTATGAATTGAAATACTTAGAAATGTATTTCCCTATTATATGTATACTTCATTTTCAAAACAAGTAAGACCAGTGTTACTCTGGAATAGATGATGGTTTGCAGAACTTTAAAATAATTCTATGGGCAGCCACTGTGGTTAAAATGTACTCTTACTTGGTTTAACCATGTAAAATTTTACTGAAAAATGTGTATACAACTGGAGAAAAAATATGAAAGAGAAAGAAATTGCTGTAACTTTATAGACCATTTCTCCTTATACTTCACATTTGCAATCCTCATTTATCTTCCAAATATATGCATTGAAATTATTTCTGCTGATAAAAGGTTGATATTATAACTTAAATTTTAAATAGAAACTAAGCTTTTTCTGTGTTGCTGTGTATCTAGAGCATTTTTGATGTTTTGAAAAATTTTTGAAGGAGATGTGAATTAAAACAGTTTTAGTATTTAGGGGCTGTTGTAGGTACTATATTAATCTAAATACTATGTAGAGGGTTTAGTGTAGATTATTCATAACTGTGGGTTTTGTCATTATAATTTACTTGTTTTTGTTTTTTTAATTTTGTGCAGGGTGCTAATTTTTTAATAGCTCCTAAAGAAAAATTTTTCCTGTAGATTTCTTTTATGGAACCATATAAAATTACCATTAAAGAAAATCTGTTTATCCATATTTAAAAATTTTTTTAAAATAAAGGCTAGCTGTATTAGCCATCCCCTTAATTATTAGTATTCCATTGGATCTAATTTTTTGTTGTTATTGTTAGTAATTAGTCAGATCTGTACTTTTTTGTCAGAATTAACAGTGGGAATACAGATTTACTTCTGTGGGTAACACAAATTCTGTTTACATAGACTAATATCTTTCAGTGAATACTTAATCTTCAGTTCTTTTTCAGGCCTTTCTCTGCAAGCTTCATTTCCCCATACGTTTGTAAATATAATAAGATACATTCTTGAAACAATATAGGTACAAATTTTTTTGCTATGTATAAATATTCATTACTTCCAAGGTGAATATATTTTATCTTGTATCAAAAATTGTGAATAGTAAATCTTTATTGTTTGAAAATCTTTTGAAAGCACCAGATGAAGTAACTCAGTTGTTAAAAACCAAGCGAAAAGATATTTAATTATAGTCAATATTATACCATTTTAAATACTTTTCAGTGCCCTTGTAAGCTACGGTTTTTTTTTAAATAAACGTTTATAAAATATTAATTTCCCTTTTCCTTTCCTGTTCAGCCACCACAAGCTTGCTTGCAGCACTCTACAGTTTTATCTGTAGCATTGTAGCAGTAGCCTTACTGTATGGATTGTGTTATGGCGCTTTAAAGGTGAGCAACACATTGCAGTATGTTTTGTCTTTAAGGCTGTTTTTCTATATGAAGATTGTTTTAAATCATCTAATAATGATTTTTTTTCCCCTAGTGTCCCTTTGGCTTGAATTTCTATGATTTTCATAGGTTGAACATTATTCTCATTTACTTTGAATATGAAAGCAATTTCATAGTTAACTATTATTAAAAGAAAGCCCTTTTCCATGCAATAATAAATTAATATTAGAAACAAATTATTGAAAACTAGGCCAGTCTGGGATAGAGGTCAACAGAATATGAAATTAAGTTTAGATGTCCAATTAAGAACATATGTAATATCAAGACCTCTTAAAACTTAGGAGAACAGAGCTGGCCGAGTGGTGCATTGGTTAAGAGTTGTCTTGGGACGCCAGCTCTGAGCAGCAGGGCCCCGGTTCAGATCCCACATTAGGGCCAGTGACTCTGCGCCCTCTACAGCTAAGATGGTGAACAACAGCTTGACCTGGAGCTGGGCTGCCATGAGTTGCCGGCACCGGTGTAGGCTACAGTGGAGCTGCAGTGGGCTCCCATAAGCTACCTTGAGCGGCCGGCAGCCAGTGTGAGCTGCCAAGAGCCGCTGTGAGCGGCCTTCCAGTGGCCAGCGACCGATCTGCCTCACCTGGGAAGAGCGCAATGATAATAACCAACATGGGCCAGTGAAGTGATGTCCTCCACAACTAGACTGAAGAACAAAAGGACAGCAACTTGTCTGCTCCCCTTCCCCGATTCCTCAACACTGTTCCCTCCCCCAATTCCCCAATAAAATCTTAAAAAAAAAAACAAAAAACAAAAAACCTTAGGAGAACAAGTTCAAGGACTACAATTTAAGATACATTCTCGTGCTTGTTTCAGCAGCATATATACTAAAATTAGAACAATACAGAGAAGATTAGCATGACCCCTCTGTAAGAATGACATACAAATTTGTGACACGTTCCATATTTTTTAGGAAAAAAAGGTACATTCTAGTAAAAATTAGTGCGCTGAAATTTAATGTCATTTTTGGTTTAGAAGGATCTGGAGGAGCATTATTAGGTCCATTTTAAAAAGATAGTTACCAAATTGTAAACATAAAAATTTAAATATTTCATAAACAACCCTCAACCCCTGTTGTTATTTTTTATGATTAATGTAAGACAATCTGAGAATGATCAGGTTTCAAAGGACTGCAAAGTGACTCTCAGTGTCCTTACTTGTTTCATTTATTCAGGGGCTTTTATAGCATGCCTACTGTGTGCCCAGTACTATGCTAAACACCATTTCCTGCTTTTAAGTAGCTTATATGTTGTTGTAATTAAGTCAACCAACACTTTCACTAGAGAGTGATGAAGGCTATGAAAACAGTGTTACGGATATACTAATGAAGTTATTATCTTATTCAGCCTAAAGGAATTAATGATAAGTTTCCAAGAGATGGCTTTTTTTATCAAAAAGTCCAAGGACAAATAGGAATTAGTTAAGTGAAACAGGGAGAAAGAAGAGCCATGGAGTTGTGAAGAAATGGTGTTGTGAATAGGAAACAGAAAGTAATTTGGAATTGCTAGAGGTTTGGGTACATTAGGAAGGATGGCTTTCAGTCAGGCTGAAAGGTAGGCAGTGGGCTGGATTATGAAATACTATCTTTTATCACTGTGATAAAAGAGAAAATGTTTTTTATCCTGAATGTGTTGTGGTGGGGATGGAAGACTCAGACTATTTGAGGTATGGCAAGGAAACGATCAGCATTGCATTTTAGAAAGATGACTTAGTCCCCAGTGTGAAGGAAATGAAAATATAAGCAGGAAGGATCAGAAGTAGGAAGACCGTTGTGCTACAGTCTTGAAATTATGAGGGACTTAATTAAAATTGGATTCAGTGAATATATCTGGGGACTCTGGATAAAGAGAAAAGAGCCAGAATAGGCTCCCAATGACTTCTGAGTAGGGTCTTGCTTGTACAACTGGTTAGATAGTAATACTAATGTACAAAATTGGAAACTTTGGCCTTTAGTGAGGAAGATGATGTTTACTTTTAGACATGTTTATTTGTTGACATTTATGTGGTACCCAGAGATGCATAGTAGGAAGTTTTATGTTAGAGGTTTGAGGTAGTGATTAATAGATCTGGAATTCATTAACAGAATTAAATAAAGAGTAAGAAGACGACTGCTGATGTAGATTGACAAGAGAAAATGGATGAGGCCAGGACCCTGGGAGGTGCCATTTCCACATGTTTCTGTTGGCCTTTGAAGTGGCTGGCCTTAGAAGCTGGTCTTTGTATTATTTATTTCTGAGACTATGCAGTTCATTAATTCCAGAAACACTGAATGCCTGCTCAATACTCTGGGAGATATAATGGCATATTATATGAGCACACCAAATGTTAACATTTTCTTTTGCCTGATGTCTTGTATCGTGTGTTGCCTTTTCCTACTTTATCATTACATAATCAGAAATTTAACCACACCAAGTTATTTTGTTCTTCAAAAGGGAGAACACAGTGTACTATACACTTAATATTACTTTAAACTTGAAAGAAATCGGCAGCAGTGTGTATCAGCAGCAAATGTATTATTCGTAGTATATAAGTAGAGCTTTAGTATGAAAACAAATCTGAAGATGACCTAGCAGATAGATTCTAGTGTATCAGAAACTAGTAAACCTAAACTTACCTGGAATAAAATGCAATTAATAATATGGCTAAAAAGTTTTTGTTGAATGTAGTTATCTTTCTCCAAAATACTGATATCCAATGATTATATGCTAGATTATAAATTAGAAGCATATTGTTCTGTCATACTTTTCCCCCCAACAGGATTCTTGGGATGGCCAGCATATTCCAGTACTTTTCTCCATTTTTTGTGGTTTGTTAGTGGCAGTGTCCTATCATCTCAGTCGCCAAAGCAGTGATCCATCTGTACTTTTGTAAGTGAAATCAGTTGTTATTAAATTAAAGAAATTTAAATAAGTTGACATTTCTTTCTAATTTAATTTCCAAGTTATGTTTTCCCAGTGGCTTACAAAATGCTGTTGACTCAATCTATATTTGGTTTCAAAATAAATGAACTTTGGGTCATTCTAACCACATTGGCTGAAAGTATTTGTTAACTTTTTCTCTCCTAAGTATTAAAGCTGTGTTTTAATAAGAATATTCTCACTGTATGCTTATTTATGACATCTTAAACTTTTTTCGAATTTATCATTTGCTAATGATTAAGTATACTTGGATCACTTGGTTTTTTATTATAAACATTGCCATTCGAAGTACTGGTTTTCAAGTTATATATGTATTTTTTATTATTTTTCTCTCTTTTTCAAAAATATAAAGCTCTTTGGTGCAATCTAAGATTTTTCCAAAAACAGAAGAGAAAAATCCAGAGGACCCTCTTTCTGAAGTAAAAGATCCACTGCCTGAAAAACTTAGAAATTCTGTTGTAAGTTTTTTAAAAATCACTTTAAAAGATTTAAATTTTAGTTCATCGTGTTATATAATGAACACTTTTTTATGACCTTTAGTAATTGGGGGAAAATGTATAGCTATATATTACAACTATTTTTAGAGTTATATATTCTACATTGTTGATTGCCTTTATTTAAAATTTTAACATGTAAGAAATATACATGCCTCAAATTTATTTTATATATACATATATATAAAACATTATGCAAAACATTCATTTTTAAATCATGTGAAATTAAGTCATTTCATTGTTTATAGAATTCATAATCCTCAGTTTAGACTGGGATATGGGAAGATGAATATTAACATAAAGATTATGTTTTTAGTTTTCATCTTGATAAAATCCACATCCTTATAAGTCATCTGCTAGCCTTTTAGTGTGTTTCGTTTTTTAAGGGCAGTCTGAAAACTGTGTTTGTGTTTATTTTTCTGGTTGGAGGCGAGAACAATAACCTGTACTAATTTAATATACTTAAGTGTAGTCAATTTAAAAATTTTTCTAATTTAGTGAATTTTAATTTGGCCTGCATCCTTTTAGTAAATGTCTGAAAATGATATCTGTAGAATCATATCTGCTTTATGAAACAAAATAAAATTGTTTCCTAAGTTATTATATTATCTCCATTTGTAAAAGACTGAACTCGTGTATAGGTCTTGAGTTAGACACGATTTACCTTCAGTGAACTTGAGCTGTTCAGATATTCTTTAGAAAACTTTAGAAATACAAAACTGTGTCAAGACATAATTTAAACAATTTTTTCTGACTTTAGTTTCTGTGTTAGCAAAGGATATTTCATGTTAAATACAGTAGAATACTTCTGAATCTAGCTTAAAAGTATAAATTTATGGATCATTCAACAACCAAAGATATTAAGGTTTGTGGTTTTTACTACAACTACTAAAAGAACCAGAATCCAGTAAGTAAAATAGTACATATGCATGCAGTTCCAACATTTCAAAAGACCAATGAAAATATAACTTTGTTGTCCAAAAGGATATGCCCTATAAATGATATAGTAACTTAAGTACCTCTTTTTCTTTTCCCGTATCTAAAAGTAAAACTTATAGGCCAATGGGGGTGGGAAATACACAGCTTCATTATAAAAAAGACTTTGTTATGATATGTTATATTATGTGTGGAACTAGATGAGTTAGTTTAATTTCTTTGGTATTGCAGTGTCAAACTAAATATTAGGAAATTGAGGAAGAAAATAAGACTTGTAGCTAATTATAATACTATGTAAGAAATACCTAAAAGTGCTAAACAAAATAGGACCGGTGAAAAATTGTTTGTTAAACTTGGCCAGTTGGGAACAAAGAAAATATATATTTTTAAGTTTTTGTGATTGTTCGGTAATTCTGTTTTGTTTCACAGAGTGAACGTTTACAGTCTGACCTAGTAGTATGCATTGTAATTGGGGTGCTGTATTTTGCTATTCATGTAAGCACAGTGTTCACAGTATTGCAGGTAAGGAATCATTTCGTTCTTTTGGTTGAGGGAAAATAGCTTTGTTTGGACTCCTTTCTGATTTGCTTGTACTGTTTGTCCATAATGCTGAAATAGATGAACTTCCCAAAGCCTTGTTCCAGTACAGCTAGAAGTCTAGAACCTCACACCTAAATCAGGTCCAGGTTCAGTGAGGCTCCTCAGGTTTTGTTCCTCTTGTACAGCCCTGCTTATCTGTAGGCTGTGCACTCACCGTTCTCAGTGCTCTTCATTCTTTTGTCCAGATCCCTGTTTCCACATGGTGTCAATTTGGTTTTGGTGTACCTCTGCATAGGCTTTTTTTTTATAAATCTCCCATGCCTCTACTTAACTTTCTGAACGTACAGAATTCAGTTTTAACTCTGAATGTCTTTATCTCCTATTTCTACCTCCTGTCACTTGTGGGTTGATGTTGATTAATTGATTTTTTTCCTCCCCTGTTGATTAATTGATTTTTTTCCTCCCCTCATTGGCCATAGTTTTCTGATTCTTTGCATGTTTGGTAATTTTTGAATTCCAAGCATTATGCATTTGACCTTGTTGGGTATTGGATATTTTTATATTTCTAGAAATATTCTTGAATTTTGTTTTTTTGGCACAGTTAAGTTACTTGTTACAGTTTGATCCTTTCAGGTTTTGCTTTTAAGATTCGGGAGGTGAAACCAGGGCTATTTTTTAGTGTGGGGCCAGTGTTCCCCCTACTGAGGCAATAACCTTTGGAGCACTCCAGCCAGTGCCCTGTGAACCGTCAGCTTTTCCAGCCTGGCTGTGGGAACAGGCACTATTCCTACCCTGTGTGAGTGCCGGATACTCCGCTCTCTGTCCTTTCATGTGGTGCTTCCCCTAGTCTCATGTAGTTTCCTCACACACTTGTACTGATTCCCCTGAATACCTGGGTTGGGGTGGGGCGGACCTTCTGCAGATCTTCAGATGTCTATGTGCAGTTTTCTCTTTGGTACCCTGTCTGTTCTGGTGAACTCGAGCTGCCTTTGTCTGTCCAGGCTCTCAGGTCCATCTCCTCAACTCAGGGCACCAGGCTTCATGTGGGTTTCCCTCGCTGCACTGCAGCCTGGAACCTCGCTCAAAGCAGTAAACTGGGGCATTCCTGATACGGACCTCATCTATTTTCCTTTTGTTCACGTTTATTTCCTTATGATTGACATATTTTATTCTGTTTTGACTTCATACGGAAGAGTAAATCCCTGTTATTCCATTTGGCCAGAAGCAAATGCTATATTATTTCATTTTATTTAAGATTTTGCCTGTTTTTCTTCTCTTCTAATTTGAACAATTAATTCCTGAACACCTGCAAGCTGAGCTGGGTCTAGTGGGTCTTCAGGGCTCAGATGGAGGCCTCTTTGTGTCCAAGAGACTCCAGAGTTTCTAAATATGTAACTTTTAATTTGAGTATTTGAAGTGATGGTAGTTGATTTCCTCTTTGATGAATTTAGTCATCCATAAGAACTCTATTCTAAAGATATGCCATGTGAAGGCACAAAAAAGAATACCTTCTTCTCATCCTAATCTGCTCTCCACTCAGAGTTTTTTGTAGTTCATGCCCTTCATCTCTACTAGTTAAAACAGTTGAATACATTCTCTGCAAAGTCACGTAGAACATTCTTAGAGGAGCAAGCAATACACCTCAGGCCCCTCTCTCATTATATGATAGCGTGAATACCAAAGAATTAGTAAACACAATTTTAAATATCTGTAGTATCATAGCTGACCTAATCAGAAGAACTACGTAATGTAGAAATGTTAACCGTAGACAGATGTTTAATTCTCAGATTCTAAAGTTGACCTTGCTATTCTTCATTATCAAATGGAAAATTGAACTGACAAATTAGAAGTTCTCCTGTAGGTCTCCTGTATGTCTCCTGTAGGTCACTCAATTTGTTCAACTTTATTTTCCTTTTAGCCTGCTCTCAAGTATGTGTTGTATGCGTTGGTCGGCTTCGTAGGTTTTGTAACCCATTATGTGCTGCCTCAAGTTAGAAAACAGTTACCGTGGCACTGTTTCTCTCACCCTTTGCTGAAGACAGTGGAGTATAATCAGTATGAAGTTCGCAGTAAGTCTTTCATGAACACCCTTTTTAATACTGTACATTTTCTTTTACTTTGTTGATAGATGACAGTTAAATTTAAGTCTGATCAAGTAACACTTTCTTATACTTAGCTGAAAGCTGCAGCGAGTCAAAGATTTTGCAGGGTGCTTTAATTTTAGTTGAAGTGTAAATGTCAGTGCTACAATGCCAACTTTCCATAGCATAAAACTTACTTCTTCCTTCTCTGAATTGTTTGCACAGACCTCATTGATGCATCCTTTTGTGTATGTCTGTCACCTCTTTTTCCAGCCCCTACTCTTTCCCTCAGTTTTCCTTGCCATATGCAGGCAACCCAATCCTCTGTAGGACTTTAATTCTTAAAACCTTATTACTTTTAGGGTAAGAGGCAGTCTAATAATCTTTAGTAACCTTTTCTCTAGAAGTTATAAGCAAAAGTGAGAAAAGGTTAATGCTTAAAAACTGAGGCTTTAAGAATGTTTAAAATGAAATTCATCTAAATTTAAGTCAATGTCAGTTGCAAAATTGGATGTGTCTCAGAAATCATAAAAGTTGACGATTGATTGAAGTACTGGATTTCTTAACATTATTTATTTATAGTACAGCTGAATTTGAGTTGTAAGATTTTCCTTTCTCATCACATTACCAAACTATTTTATGCATTTGACGACGTTTGCTCTTCTTGACTCATATTCCCTTGTCAGATGCAGCCACTATGATGTGGTTTGAGAAACTTCATGTGTGGCTTCTTTTTGTGGAGAAGAATATCATCTATCCATTGATTGTTCTCAATGAACTGAGTAGCAGCGCAGAGACAATTGCGAGTCCAAAAAAGCTGGACACCGAGTAAGTATAAATCACTCACCTAAGGTTGGCTCCTGGGGGCGGTCACGAGCAACGCCTTAAGCCATCCATCAAGTAACAGACAGGCATCAAGCGCCTCTGTGGTGCAGGGCGCTGGGAGACAGAACAGGTGAAATTCTGTCTTTGACGTCCCTTTCCTGAACATCTGTTTCTGCTCTTGGCTTGTCACTACTCCAGACATCTCATTGTCAATTGATGTTTTATGACAGGACATTTATTATATAAGGTTAATGGTTAATCTTTAGTATTAGATGGTAAGTTTGGGAAATGGTTATTTTTGTGTACTGTGTAAATTAGACGATATATAGGCATCATGTAGACCTACCCGCTAGACTAGGTACATGTTGTTTGGTAAGATTTAATTATGTTTTTTTACGTGTTAAATGCTATTAATGTTAAAACAATAGAAATATTGAGAAACTGGAGAACTAAATGTCAGAATTACAGTACTATTAACTTATTTTTAAAACATGCTTATTTATATAAAGGTTAAGAATCATAATACATATTATTAGAAGGGACTATTTTGATAAGTTTATTACGGGATATGATTTGCTTAGCTATATAAATCATTTTTAGAAGTTTAAATTTTGTATATATACATATATGTGTATACTCGTATGTATTTATAGTAAGCTTAGTAAATGAAATGGTGATTTTCCTGAAGTTAATAGATTTTCTAAAGTTTCTGGTCATTGTTTGGTAAGTTGTGCTTTCTTTTTATTGTAGACTAGGTGCTTTAATGATCACCATTGCTGGTCTGAAGTTGCTACGATCCTCTTTTAGCAGCCCTACGTATCAGTATGTCACAGTCGTCTTCACTGTGCTGTTTTTCAAAATTGACTATGAAGCTTTTTCAGAGACCATGCTGTTGGACCTCTTCTTCATGTCCATCCTCTTCAACAAGGTAATTTATCACTGAAAGGAATATCTCTGTCTGTAAAAAGTATCTCCCTAAGTAATAAACTATTTAGAGAGGATTATCCTTGCATTTCTTTTCACTTCATTTTCTTTTAAGCAATATTTTTCTTAACCAGTTATTTAGAAGCATATTTGAATCCCTAAACAATGCTAGTCACCGTGATTCCTAAAAAACATATTTTTTGCTATAGATAGGAATATAGGATTAAATTGTATGGAAAAATTTAAGAGAAACACTAATAAGTGTATGCTTTTAAATATATGGGATCTTCCAAAAGAGGCTATGGTTTGAATAATTTCAGAAATGGACATGGTAATAATTGGATTGGGTTGTGGGCTGCTGGATAGAAGGACGGAGAAGATCACCTGGTAGCTGATTGAAGATTGTGGATACGGAGGACAGTGAGGTCATGTGGGAGAACTCAGAACTTAGTTTGATGATGAAACCGGGTCTTCTGCCTCCCATTTCAAGAATCTTTTTGCTGAACCACACTACCTTTCTAAATGAAATAGGTTGTGCAGTCAGATTATTTGTAAATTAAATAGAGCTTAGATTTCATGTTAACACTGACCACATACAAAGGACTTTGACATATATTATCCCATTTGATAGGTAACAGCTGAAGCATATGAGCAGCTACAAAACACAATGAAAGCCCAATTTTAGGAAAGTTAGCCTGGTCAGCCACATTTGGGATGAATTGGGGAAGAGAGAACCTAAAGGTATGGAGAACAGCTTAAGAGTTTGTGACAGTAATTTAGATGTGATAGAGATCTGACCTAGGATGGGAACAGCACAGATGGATCCATTTATCTGAACAAAGTTTAGTGATGGTCAATTTCCAACTATTATGCTAAATATTGTGAAAAAATAACTCCTAAAATATTGCAGTGTTATATTTGTTCAATCACTAATTTGTATGCATTTTTATCATTTATTTCCTCTTCTAGTGAGCATGGTTAACCAAAGGAGGAAGCCAGAATGTTAGAAAATTGTTTGTATAAAGAAGCATGTGGTGTCTGACAAATTTAAATATTTAGATTGGAAACTGTATTGCATCTTTTTATCCTGGTTGGAAAAAAGTGAAAGTTGCAGTAAAATATAAACCAAACAATCCTTGAATCACTACACTTAACACGTGTT